AACCTCCTGGCTCCTCCCCCCCCCCCCCCCCCCCCCCGCGGCGTGTCTGGGCTGTCCCGCTGCCCGCGTGCTCCGCGTCTTTGCTCCGCGTCTCCCTGGTCTGCTGGGGGGGCTACCCCCCAGCAGACCAGGGAGACGCGGAGCAGCTTTTCTCGCCCCAGAGGACGCCGGCGGCGGGACCGCGGCGCATCTGGGCGTCCCACCGCTCCCGTCCTCCGGGGCGAGAAAAGCCCCGTTCGTAACTGTGGATCCGACATAAGTCGGATCCGCGTAACTCGCGGACTGCCTGTATTATTGAAAGAGGTTATGCTATAATAGCACACTAGTAGTTTGACCTTATAGGATCTATCCACTTTCTTCAGTGTATGCTATTTTCTTTTGACTCGTTTAACTAATGTTGCTTCCTCGGCTGTGCCTTTGATCACAAATAAGAGATTACCTTCAATTAATGTTCAGCTCTCTCACAATGAAAAACAATTCCCATTAACTATTAGGATATCCTTTTTTATGTGTTGTGATGTTTGTGTTTACTGTTAAAATCAAGGACACCACAATCAGTTTCCAAGGTTTGTACTGTTGTTACTTAACATGTTTATAATACTGCTAGGTTCCACTCCCTTAATATTATATCAACATTGTACCTGGGTCAAGGGTCATCCTGGGTACCCTGGGTCCTTTAAAATTACTTTTGTAACATAGGCTCTAAAAGAAACATAATTTTTTTGATTTTTTTTTCAAGTTGGAACAGTGTGTGACAATTCCATAGTTGGGATCCTTCTTCCAGATGATGTCATGGTATCCTCACACTGAGAGTAACTTTCCCTGAGTAGGAATTCTAGTTACTAGGAAGAGCCAGGTTATAGTAATGGGGGGGATTCAATTATCAGAAATATAATCTAATTATAATTAGAATTTTAAAATAAAGTTATTCTAAATTAACTGTTACCACTCAAGAAACAGATCTTGAAGTCCTCACGTATAGTTCTCTGAAAATATCCTTTCAATGTGCAGCAGCAGTTAAAAATGTTAATGAAATGTAGGGAACCACTGAGAGAAATAACAAAACAGAAAATATCATAATACCACTACATAAATCCACGATAAGCTTATACCTTAAATATTGCATTTGGTTCTGGTTACCCCATCTCAAAAAAGATATTAGAACTGGAAAAGTTACAAAGAAGGGAAACAAAAATTATAAGTGCTATTGAATAGCTTCCATAAAAGGAGAGATGAAGAAGTCTGGGACTGTTCATCTTAAAAAAAAATACAACTGAGGAATTATATAATAGAGAGGTCTTTACCCATGGACAAAAGACAGGAACTAGGATCACAATGAAATTAATATGTAGCAGGTTTAAAACATACATAAGGAAATATTTTTTCACACAGTGCACAAGGATGACAACCCACAAGGGACACAGGGTTGACACTGACTATGTGACTGCTCCATGCACCTCTAGTTCAGGGGAGTACTGGGACAACCTCTTTCCTTTCCATGCCCTGCTCCTGCCCCACCTCTTCCTACCCCTCCTCTTCCCTGCCCTGCATCCTCCTTGCCTTTTTCCCACTTCTGCTTCAACACGGCCTTGCCTTTTTCCCCATTGTCCTTCCCCTGAGCAACGTGGCCCCAGCGGATTAGCAGGATGTGGGGGATCAGGTACCAGCAGCACGAGTCAGTCCTTCTTGCATTCTCCAGCAACGGCAGGAGGTAGTGAAGCAATGCTACCCTAGTTCACTCTGTTCTCCTGCCTGCATTGCTCCATTTCCACCACTAGCCACCCAGAGGCTCTGGCCCCACTGACTGCTGGCCCCTTACTCCTCCTGTCCACAGTGTTTGGGGAGGTACCCCATTGAGCTCTTCCCCCACACACAATGCATCATTCCTGCAATGCACACTCAACCTATGGAGCTCATTGCCTCCAAAAGTATAACTGGTTTAAAAAAAGAATTAGTTAAGATCATGGAAGACAGAGTCTGTCAATTTTAGCCAAAATGGTCAGGGATAGAACTCCATGCTCCAGGTGTCCCTAAACTGTCAAATACCAAAAGCTAGGCTTGCATGACAGGAGATGGATCATTGGAAAACACTCTTTTCTGTTCAGTTCCTTGTGAAGCATTTGACATTGGCTTCTATTAGAAGACAAGATACTATGCTTAGGTCAGGGTGGACAATAATATTTGCAGGGGACCACTCCAAGAATTTGATAACTGGTCACAGGTCACACTTTTCCACTATATTAATGGAGGCGGTGTGGGGTCTGGGACAGAGTGGGGTGCAGAAGGGGGTTGGGATGTGGGATGGGGTGCCAGATGCAGTCTCTGGCCTGGAGGCACTTACCATGGGCAGCTCCTGGCCAGTGACACAGCAGGGCACTCTGCCATAGCCCTACACACTGCTCAAAGCAGTTGACTAGTTGAGCAGGTGTTTCAGTTTCCAGCCAATATGAGCTGTGAGGATGGTGCTGGAGGTGGGGGCAACACGTGGAGACCCGCTGCCTTCATCCCCCCAAATGGGCAGATGTGCGCACACACACACTTGCCACAGCAGCTGGCCACTTTGAGCAGCATATGGAGTCACTGCACTCCACTGATCCATGAGATATTAGTGGCTCAGAGGGTCATGGCAGGCTGGATCCAAATATTTGGTGGTCTGGATTTAGCCTGGAGGACATATTTTGCCCACCTCTGACTTAGAAGGACCATTGGTCTGCCTCATTATGGCTGTTCTTATGTTCTTGAAATGCTGCTAAATCCTAAAAAGACTAGTAGGAGTAGAAACACAGCTGTCATTTGCAGCCCAACTATTGAAAGCTTAACATCTTGAATATTAAAATCACTAGGATTTTTGTAATGAGTTTAAATGTAAATTTAATTTAAAGAGTTTTCTTTATCTTCCTTATGAGTCTTGATATGAGGAAGTGGAATTGCCCTCATAACTGACACACAATTTTTTAATAGATAATGCTGAATCAATCTACTTAAGTTTTTAAGAAATGTCTGCTGTGTGTTATGAGCAAAATGTGGGTTTGGAATCTCTAAAACCTAGGACCAAGAAGAGCTCTGTTTGATTCACAGGTGCTGACATTTGTCATCAGTGAGCAGGATAACTTTGGGAGTTAAATACCTAGTTTCTGATGAATTCTCCACAAATAGTTCTGGAAATTGAAAACCACCTTCTGCACTTTCTACATTCTATCTTTAACTAGTGCCAAATAGAACAGTGAGGCAGCTAACCTTAACCCTAACAGCAAGTGCAAAGTTTAGTCTTTCAAAAACAGGGCTAGAGATCATAGCTTTCTGAAAGCATATAATTGGTAAGTTCCAACCTTTACCTTAAAATAATATTGTAATTTCTACCTTGCTTCTCTTGCCCTTCCTTCTTTCAATGACTGTTACTACCTGTAAATCTAGAACTGCAGTTTCCATATGATGTAAATTGATATATTGATTTAGTTATATAATCCTGTCAGACTTGTCTATATCATCTCGTTGTTCATCTTTTTCACAGACAGTGTTTAATAAAGCCACTAGTCATACAAAAGCAATGCTTCAAAAAACTGAGGAACAAAAGAGAGCTTTAGAAAAGGTAATGGTACTGACTCCTTGTCTTTGCAAAATCATGCTGAATCATAGTATCTTTATTCCTTTTGATTTGTAAGGCTAAACCAATAATGTAGGATTTATTCTGAAATGACAAAGATGGCCCCCCTATTTTGGAATATATTAGATATCAGACTTTATTTCACTCTTAGGTTTTGTTGGTAGTAGTCTCATCCCACTTAGCTAAGGAGACAATGTTAACTTATCACATTTATTTACAAATAATTCTTAATATTACTATATTGAGAATAGGGATGTTAGAGTATAGTCAAGTAAATGATAAGCCGATAAGCCTAGGCATATTGGTTAATACAATCAATTACATGCACTCTCCCTGCCCCCCAACCTCTGTATTAGGGACAGCAATGGGGGGAGCAGGAGCCAGTGCCCACGAGGAACTGGCTTTAAGTCAGCTTCCTATGAGCACTGAATCCGCCTTTCGCCCATCCCACACTGCTGCCTGTGATACAGAGGCAGCAGCGCAGAGCGTGAGGGGGGCAGGAGGGAGCCGGTACACGTGGGGAGTTGGCTCTGCAGAGCTGCCTCCCCCCACACACACACACACACTACTGGCTCTATCACAGGCAGCAGGACCCTGTGGGGGACCAGGGACCCATGCATGTTGGCTCTGTGGCCCTGCCTGCCCCGTCTTTCTGCTTCCTCCAGAGGCAGCAAGGAGTGGCAGGCAGGAGCCGGTGCTTGGGGGAGTTGGCTTAAAAGACAGCCGCCTGACTCCGCTCCCACGCTGCTACCTCTGTGTGGGGGGCAGGGGAAGCTGCTACAGACCAGCCTCTGTCCACGGCGGGCCCCAGCTGCTCCATGTGCTCCATGGGACGCTGAGTCCTACCTCCTTTTCCCCCCCCGACAAGGGTTGTTCTGTTACAGAGACAGCACAGTCTGGTGGGGGGCACTCCCTGGGAGTGGGGCCGGGAGCACACTGGTTGCCAGCTCCACCCCTGGGAACTATCAAATAATTGTGTAACCGCTATTGTGTAACCGCTTTTGATGCGATTACACGGTTATTCAGTTACACAGTATCTACTATCAAGTATTAATTTAAACTGCTACCTCCAGATTTAGGTCTGGTTTCTATACACTGTGATATTCTTTATATAAATAATTTTAACTTGATATTTTTTATACTCATAGCAGCTTACTGTTAGTAAAGGAAACTCCCATAGTTGTCTCATGTCAAAAAGGCCCTTCTTAGATATACGAGTATTGAAAAGAACACATATTAGGGAGAGAGAGAGGTACTTAAAGAGACCAGGGCATAATATCCATGTGTTCTTTTTAACAGACCAAACTATTAGTTAGTTTAACCTTATGTCTGAAAATGAATCTATTGTTGTTTTTTGTGTTTTTGCCCCCAATTGCCCAATTAGTGGGCATCACCCAAAGAAAATAACCATATAGAAGGCCTTAATATAGAAAGGTAATTGGGATTTGTGTCACATAGGCTTTAGAAACCCCAGCAGATTATAATCTGTTAAACTCTTCCAGTGAAATCCTGGTTTGAAGTCAGTGGCAAAACTCCCAGTAACTTCACTGGAGCTAAGATGTCCCTTTCTGTGAGCACCTATCGTTAGACAAATTTGCAGAGTTCAATTGAACTGTTCACTAGTCTGAGTTAGGGATGTGAAATGCGCCGCAGCGCTAGGAATGGGGGGCAGGCTGGAGTTTTTCATTGGTTACAAATTTACCTAAATAAACACCTTTTAACATCCCTAGTTTGAACACTCTTATTCCAGTTTACGAGTGTCTTATTTCAGGTTAGCTTAAATCTGTTTCTAATAATTTTAAACTAAACCTAAATAAGCCTGGTTTAAACTAGACTTGCATCAGTTTAACTAAATCCATTTAAAATTGTACTTTAAACTGTTGCAACTCTGAGTACAGACAGTCCTGAAGTCTGTCACATTGCCCTTTGACTAATGTTCAGAGAAAAGGACTAGCTAAAACTATGTTGTAAATCCTGAGAGAAATTTCAGCACTCTGTGACGAGATCTAGAGGCTACCTACAGATACTTTCCACTGTATTTGTCTAGGTGTGCTTATTTTTTGAAGTTTCCTGTGTAGTTATTTTATGTCATATAAAATTACCACATACATATTTTTGAAGACAGCTTACATTTAAAGAGAACTATTGTTGGCTCATTAACTGAATTCTGACATTAGGGAAAGCAAAACCAAGAACTAGCTTGGGTAACAAGTCTGAAACTTCGATGCTTTTAAAAAAAAAAAAACTTAACTATTATGGTGCTTTTAGACTCATTCCTGTAATTAACTGTTGCTATCTTTTCTTCTTAGGAAATAAATACTTTGCAATGGGAAATTGAATTTGATCAGGAAAGATTTAAAAACAAAGAAGAGACATGGGCAGAAAAATGTGACAGGTATTTGCATCAAATGATGGAGTCGTCTTTGATTTTGAAATATCATGTTGATTTTTGCGTTAAATTTTTCTAACATCATTTGAATGTCCCAAAGTGCCAGATTTTCTGGTTCTTTATGTTATTTATAATAATCTCAGAAAGAATTTCACATTAATCAATATGCTAGTTATGTCAGTTTTTAAGTATTGAGCAATAAAATTGATAACTCACAATCTTTTACCCTGAAGAATATATGTCAAGTGGCTTTGCTGGTTTGAGCTTTCAGTTCAATCCATTTTTTTTCTTATACTAAGCAGCTGGCAAAGGAAAATTCATAAGTTAGTATTTTTATTTAATGAGGTGTAGAAAATAATGCTAGTGTCTCATGCATTCATGCATACAGTAAAGTAACACAATAATTAATTATATTTTTAATTTATACACTGTAGCCATCAGTAAGAGTGTGCTCAAGTGGAATATGATATTACCATCTATCCCCAATTAAATAATTGTAGGACAAACCCAAATCCCTAAATTAGTAACACAATAACAGACATGGAGAGCACTAACAAGCAGGCTCCCAACACACTTTTTCTTTTGATTATTTAAGACATGAGTAACTTCTCTGAAATCCAAACAGCAGAATTTCAATAATTTCAGTGAAGATTATTTTAGATTTTTTAAAAGATACACCTAGAACCAAGGGATAATTGCATGTAAATTAGTTAATTATTATATACTCCTTGGTTATGTTTTATAAAATATCAGCTCTTTCTTACTCATGTAACCTGTCAGGATTATCAACAAATATTCTTTAAATTAATCTCCTAATACATACTCTCTTCTCAAAAGTTTGGATATAACAGGCCTTTTGGTATGTGCTGAAGGTTATAATCTGCCTTTGTCCATCTTAATGAGAGAGGAACTTCCAGACTTAAGGGCTTCTCAGATAAGGGCTTGCTGTCTGACCATATAATCATGCGTGCTTTAACATGAGCACTTCAGCTGACCTCACATGCTGTGGAATCACATGAAAAGAGGGCCAGGAAAAATGGTAAATTGATACTCTGAATGTTTAGAATTGCACAATAGGAACTTGTGTGCTATGTAGTAAGTGTTGCTGAGTAGGCCTGATTAAAATTTGATTGGAAACAGAAATTGATAAATGGTTTTGGAAAGCTGCAATAATTCAAGAGCTCAATAGATTTTGCAAAAGGTTTTCTGATACCTGAGACAACAAGATAAGAAGTGTGGATCTTTTGCCTTTGAGATATATATTTAAAGGAAGAGATTTCATATACCTGTAGACTGTTGTGACTGACCCAGATCATATGACTGCTGCACACTAATGGAGGAAAAGTATCCGAGACTCTGAGACTACGGCTACGTTTTTTTTGCAGAAGAGGATATGCAAATTGTGCTCTCATTTGCATATCTTCTTCCGATTCTTTTTGCGGAAGAGGTTTTGCCGATAAAAAGCCCCATGCAGATGGGGTTATTTGTCGGAAAAAAACCCTTTTTCACAAGATCCCTTATTCCTCAAAAATCAAGGTTTACAGGATTTTGTGAAAAGGGTTTTTTTCTGACAAATGGCCTCATCTACACAGGGCTTTTTATCGGCAAAACCTCTTCCGCAAAAAGAATCGGAAGAAGATATGCAAATGAGAACACAATTTGCATATCCTTTTCCGCAAAAAAAATGGCCGTGTAGCTGTAACCTGGGTGAACAGTGGCGTCTTTCCCTGAGTAAACAGGCTTGAGCCTAGTGCAGCATAGTCAGGCAGGCACATGGGACCATTTAAGAGCTTGCTGGAAGCAGCAGGCTAGTCAAATCACCTAGAACCCATTAAGACCTGCTGGGGCTTGTTTATAAGAATGTAAGAATGGCCATACTGGGTCAGACCAAAGGTCCACCTAGCCCAGTATCCTGTCTTCCAGCAGTGGCCAATGCTAGATATCCCTAGAGGGAATGAACAGAACAGGTTATCATCAAGTGTTCCCTCCCCATGATCCCTCCCCTGTCACCCATTCCCAGCCTCTGACAGAGGATAGGGACACCATTCCTACCCATCCTGGCTAATAAGTATTGATAGACCTATCAACAGTGAATTTATTTAGCTCTTTTTTGAACCCTGTTGAAGTCCTGGCCTTCACAACACCAGGGAGAGCAGTAACGCAAGATCTGAGAGTGAGAAGGTGAACTGTGAGTGTGAGCTGAAGACTACGGGCAAGGCAGAGTGCCATGGAGGAGCAGGACTGACTTGGTCAGGTATCAGAGGAAAGATACTGAGAGTGATTGTTTGGGGAAGTGGCCCAGGGAAGAAGCTGCCAGACTGGAAGTAAAAGAAATCCTTTCTGTTGTGGCTGCCTTAGGGTTCCGGGGCTGGGACCCAGAGTAGTGGGCAGGCCCGGGTTCTCCCCAAACCTCTCTCACGCCACTACAGAGAGTGCCTCTGAGAAGGGAGTCTAGGACTATGAAGGGGTTTTTACTCCACAGTGTGGATTTGCCTGTAATAAGAAGGGCTCAGTAGGTTGTGATCCTTGCCTCTAGTAAAGGGTAAGGCGCTATGTGGAGGGTCACAGAGAGCCTCTGGGGCAGAAGCATTGGACCCTGGGGCACAGTCAGGGCTTTGCCACACTGTTTTAAAAAAATCATGAGATGTAATTAAATGTATTTTAATAAAAACTCCAGAAATATTTCAGGAAAAGTCTTTATTAATTCACCATCAAAATAAGGCTTGTGTCCCTTTACTTCCAGGAAAAGGAAATAGCCAAATACATGGGGAGGTGCATTACCTTTTGATGTACTCAAGATTTAAAAGTACAGGAGTGTTTTAGAATTGTATTTAAGGAAACAGGAAGTTTGCATTGTATGCTAAGGACAAACCCTTAGTGCAACAGACAAATGTGCCCAATAAACTCACTGGACTTCAACCTTTAATGGATGTTATGGATTGTCTAAAAATATTTCAAAGTACTATAATTATGTATTTTTATATATCTTTTTAATGACTGTTCCCACTGACAATACTTTATCTTCTAATTTTCCTCAAGTTCAGGTGTTTTTTTTTTCAGGCATCTTATGTTCCATTTTACTTGTGATTTTTAAAATGTTTCTCATTTGCAAAGGCTTTAAATATGCACTTGTGCATATTTTAAAATACTTTTTCTCTTTGTCCTATAGTGGTCAATACATTAAATATTATTGGCAGAGTCTCCCAGGAAGAATCATTGATGTTGAAGAGTCATTATCAGTTGAATAGCTATATTTTTTTACAAGTTAAAAGTAGTTTGAGGTTCTCTGTTTTCTATTCGTTCCAGCCCTCTGACAGTTTTTGAAATTTTATGATTTAGTATCTTGTATTTTTTGTACATTTTTTTTCTTTCCGTTGCTGTGGAAAATCTTCACATGCAAACTTATTACCTTAGTAGTCTTTTCAGTGCCAAAGAAGAAGAAAACAAACAAAAAAAATAGGGCGGGGGGATTTTTCTTTTATCTGTCCGTAATTCTAATGACACTTATAAAAAAGTTGAGGAAAACATTTTAACATACAAGTGATTTTAACTTGAGAGTTAGTTTTTAAATAACTATTTCAAATTTAATACAGTCTGTTTGTTTCCAACTTCTGCAGGATATATTGTGAAAATGCAGCCCTTAAGGAAACATTGAAACTCAGGACAGATGAGGTCAGAACTCTTAAATCTGAAAATGCAAGTGAGCAAACTCTACATCCTCAATACTTTTTCCTTTTTACAAGTACTGTTTTTCATGAGAGACACAAGATGGGTGAGGCAATATATTTTATTGGACCAACTTCTGATGATGGAATGGACAGGTCCATAGAGCTCTTCTTCAGGTTTGGGGAATGTATCAAGTGTCTGAATACAAGTTGGGATAGATTGTTAAGCATAAGAGTTTTTTTGAATTAATTGAGATGGAATATCTGGGCCAAAGGTGTTAACATAGTCATTATCCAACATTAAACAATGTTAAACAAGATTTGGGGTTTGTTATATAGATACCAGAGCCTGCTTAGTACCATGGCAAACACTAGGAATGTGAGGGATAAACAAGTAAGTATTAGTTGTTTAGGGTGATGTTTACTGGTTGCAGTTAATCAGTGGGGGCTGGAGCAGCTCCCTTCCTGCTGTGGGCAGAGAGCTACTCTAGGCCATTGGGGCCTGCTGTGTCGTAGGCAGGGGCTGTCCGGAGCTGCCCCGTCCGTGGTGGCCCAAGTGCATCGGAGGGAGGGGCTGTTCTGGGTGCAGCAGCAGGGTCGGTGCGGAGGCTGGGCTGGAGGACCTCCTCCTTAATTGGTTAATCAGTTAAACTTCATGTTTAACTGGTTAACCAATTAAATGAGATTTTACATCCCTAGCAAACGTATTATTAAACATCCTTTTAGAAGGAAAGTCACCTTATTTGACAGACTCTTAGATGGTCTCAAATATGCTAATGACTGCTTTTCTGCGGGAAAAGAGTTACTTAAAGTGGGCTTGAACTATTGTAAGTCTTATCCCATTTCCTACCAGATGGTGTTTGGGATTCAACTTGAATTCATAGAATTGGTGATGTTATACAGGTACCTGTCTTTGACCTGGTCAAATCTAGAGATGTGAACGAGTGGTCAAGTAGTCGACTACCCAATAAGCAGGAGCTTATCAGCTAGTACTATTGACTACTCGGTCACCCTCGCCCCACCGCTGCTCTTCGCTCTTAAAGAGACAGAGAGGAGCCAGTGCACAGAGACGCTGGCTCAATCTCTGGTCCCTCGCCTGATCTCAAGAGAAAACACCGCCCCCCATCCCCTGCCGCCACTCTGCATTCTGAAAGGGACCGAGGAGCGGGAGGACGGTGCGCGGGCGGCCCCGCCCCAGCCGGTCCCGTGGGTCTTAGCACAAGCTCCCTCACCCCTCAGTTGCCACACTGCATTTTTAAAGGGAAAGGGGAGGAGGGGAGCTGCTCCAGCTTCAGCAGCTGTCGGGAAAGAGGAGGTGGGGGATGTGGGGGGGGGAGGGGGGGGTGGGCTGAGAGAGACCTGCAGAGCTGGCTGCCACTGCTCTGTCCCTTTCAGAATGCAGAGGTGCAACAGGGTGTTGTCCTGAGACCCGGCAGAGGATCAGAGATTGAGCCAGCGTCTTTGCGAGCCAGCTCCTCTCTGTTCCATTAAGAGTGCAGAGCTGGGGGAGGGGTTATACTGAGACCTAGAAGTGAGTGCTGTAACTGAGTCAATGGAAATGCCATCAGCTACATGACTAGCACATTAATCGCTACGTAATATCCCTAGTCTGATCAGGGCATCCCTCAGGATCAGGATAATGTGGGGTGTGTGGCAGCCATATTAGTTAAGATGGCTTGTGTTGTTCTTCCCTCCGTCTGTTCTTCTTCCCTCCACACAAGTCTCTTTGATTAAAGACTAGGGCTGTCAAGTGATTTAAAAAATTAATTGTGATTAATCGCGTGCACCTCCCCTTTGAAACGCTGTGGCGGCATTTCAACGGGGCAGCACTGCATGGAGCCTGGGATCAGCTGAAGTCCCCAGCTGACCCTGGGCTTCATGCAGCGCTGCCCCTTGGAAGTGTTGTGGTGGTGTTTCTAAGGGGCAGCGCATTAGGAGCCTGGGATCAGCTGGAGACTCCAGCTGATCCTCAGCTCCCCTGTTGCAAAGTCCCTTTGAAGTGCCACTCTGCTTGTGCTGCCCCTTTGAAGCTCCAGAGCAGCACTTCAAAGGGGCAGAGCAGCATTAATGCCTGTGTTTAACTCATTAAAAAAGTTAACACGTTAATCCTGTCCCACGTTAATTGCAGGTGTTCATGCAGGTCAATTGACAGCCCTATTAAAGACCTAAAAAGGAAGTGATGGGTGGATGTTTGTATACTCCAGCTGCATTCAGTGACTTAGGGTATGTTTACACTAGTGTGTTATTTCAAAATTTGGCATTGTGTAGATGCACCAAATTTCAAAATAAGCTATTTCGTGTTTAGGGTACTGTGTAGATGCACTTATAGATGGCTATACTGAGAATGGTGGAGCAACAAGTAGGAACAGCTTGAAAGAACTGTAATTGTGATGTGAGGAGATCTGGGGATTAATTTGAGGAGCATCATAAAGCTGTAATTATGATATGAGGAAATGAGTCCCTGCATGTGTAAGGAAAGGAAAAAGATGCATATATACCTTGAAGTTCCAATCTGTATAATTTTAATACACAATGGTGTAGGTTGTGTCAGTAGCAGAACACTGGGATGTTTGTGCCAGGGATGTTGTCAGTAGGGAGATGGGATATGAAAGAAGTCTGTGGATTTAATGATGGATAGGAGAATGTACAGGTTTGGATGGTATCTTGTGTGCACATAAGAAGTAATTGTTTTAATTTTACAGGTGTGGTATTTTTTTCAGGAGAGTAGGCTCAGGGTATGTGTACACAGCAACATTATTTCTAAATAATTAGTGTTATTTTGAAATAACTTAGTATGCGTCTACACAGCAGGCAATTATTTCAAAGTAATGTCAAAATACTGTCAAGCAGGGCAACTTCTTACTCCAACTCCTGTAACCCTCATTGTACGAGGAGTAAGAGAAGTTGGAAGAAGAGTGCTCTATTTCAAAATAAGCTACGCAATTGACGTAGCTCAATTTGCATAGCTTATTTTGAGTAAAGTCCTGCTGTGTAGATATACCCTCAGTGTTTCAGCATAGGAGAAATGTAGGTAGTACCTATCCTATATTTCCTACTTTTCAGAACTTTGAGTTTTATTGAACTTAATGTTCTGGAAGGGCATGAGCTATTGGCAGGCAACCTTAACTCTGTTTTAATAAAGTTTTTTTTGTCATTTAATATCCTAGGTTTTTAAATAGAAAGAGATCTGTCTCTTGGTAGGGGTTAATAGTCATTTAGGAAGTTTTAGTTTTTACCTAGGTTTGCAATTGATATACTACTCTGAGCAGGTAATAACCAAAAGGCTGAACTTTTATATAACGATTTTCATCAGTAGGCTTCAGATAAATTTGTGTCATCCCCATTTTTCATATGGGAAACTGAGTTACAGAGAAGTGAAGTGACAGGCCTAAGATCATCCTGCAGGTGACAGGACTAGGAATAGTCCTTCTCCAATAGTCTTGCCACTGCGTACTTACTATGTGATTCCTCAGTGCTCCTTCCACGTCTTGTACATTTTGTTGCAGCGGGATGGGAATAGGAGGTTATACTTTGAAATGTTTGTCATGTGTAGCTTTTAACAGAGCCAATGAGAAAAATCTTATGGTCTATGTCCCAAAATTTTGACTCTTTTTTTACAGTAACTTCAAGTATGTGAAAGATGAGCGTGCCTCTCTTCTATCTCCTGCCCCACCTAGTTTTCATGCTTTCCTCCCGTAGTAATTTCTTGTATATGTTTACATCTACCTGCAGTCTCTCCACCTTCCTCCTGTTCTCCAGTGACCTTTACCTGAACCCCCAACCCCCCTCGCCTTCACTACCATCCATCCCCACTTATCCCCTGTTCCTTGATGTGGCAGCAAACCCCTTTCACCTCTCCTCTCAGCAAACATTCATATCAGGTCTTTTTAATAAAAAAAATACACACCCCCAAAGTAAGCACACTGACAGATACAAATTTTAGCAATATGCCATTCATCCTTTTCTAGGTTTTACCCGCAAAGGGACTTGAATGTACTCTGGTAGGATGAGTCAGATTCAACCGACTATTGCTTATCCCCTTGAGCTATGTGAAGCTGACAATCCTATTACATCCTCTGTCCATGCATTCTTAGTATAATCTATTGAACATGAAAATAAGCACATGAAATTTGCAATGAGTTCAAGTGGAGAAGCAAAATCTTTTTCAACGGTTTTAATTTGATTTCTTCCAAAGGGCTGGTGGGAAATACTTGAATGTTGGAGACTGATGCAATGATCTGAGGGGTGGGGGGGGAGAGGGAAAGGTTGCCAGAAATTCTCAACTTTATGAGAAGCTGAGGGTTTTTTTCAGGAATTTATTTTAGTAATGCTTTGATCATATGGCCCCAAATTTGGATCATTAATGGAACCCTGTGACCAGCACAACAAATTACAATGCAATATGACTAACTAGCTGGATTTACCTGGTGTTGCTCGGGAAACCAGAGGAACAAAATTTAGAAAATTTAGGAAAGGAGGAGACCCTGAGCCAGGGGACCTCCAGAGCCACAGACCCTGGGGGCTGATGGCTCCTGGCCCACACCTGACCCTCAGAGAGCAGCAAGACCCTCCTCCCCTCAGGACCAAGCAGCCAGCTCCCAGGAGAACAGTACACAGTCATGCGGCCAGTATAAAGGGGACTTCTCTTTGCAAGGTTGGCTCAGGGATCTACCCGCCCTGCCTTGGCAAGCAAAAGCTCAGAGCTTACATCTAACCCCGATGGTTGGAACCAGATACAGAAGAGCCCCACTCACAGTACGAACAGCAGCTGACTGGCTTCACAGCAGTGTAACACATGGAGGGTTTAACCCGGCCCCTTCACCCTGTGCTGCAGCAGGCACACAGATTCCTTCTGCTCGGATAAGCCCAGTGAGCTGAGCAGAAAGGCTGGCCGGCTTTGGTTTTGATTTCCGGAGGGTGGGGGCGGCAGGTAGGGAGCGACCCCGGGTGGAGGGGAGGTTATATGCGGAATGGGCGCCCCAGCTCGCACCCGGGGCTGCAGGTGCTGGGGGGGACAGGGCGGGTGCCCGAGCCATTGTGCGCATGGGGGTGGGGAAAGAGGGTTGGTTATGTAACCTCGCGGGTGGGAGGAGGCTACATGCAGGAGGGGTGCCCAAGTTCGTGCCCAGTACCGCGGGGGGCAGGGCAGGACCTCAGTCGGGTCCCAAAGTACCTTAAAACCTTCTCCTAGAGGAAAGGTTATTCCATGCAAAGTTTGGTTGCAGTAGCTCTTAGTGTCCAAGTTATTAGCGCACAAACTTACAAACATTCTCCTTTATATATTAGATGATGTAGATTTTAGAGCACTCTCTGAGGATTCAAGTTTTGAACAGAAAGCTGATTTTAACTTAACTGTAGGAGATCTGTCACTCTATTGTAATGTCTTGGTTAGTAAAGTCAGGTAGAGAGATTAGAAGCATGAAAAGCTAATAATTTTCAATGTTGAATTTCATAGTTTTGAATCAACAGCGCTTGGAGTTTCTTGCAATGCTTGATGTAAAACAACAGAAGATTATTCAGGAAAATATGTCCATTAATAAAAGTGGCTTTACAGAAATCACAGGTCTTGAAGTAAGTATGAAAATGTGGTGGGTTTTTTTTTTTTCATTTCAGTTAATGTGGTTGATTGGAAGATGTTTTTAAACGTTTTGTTTATTGATCAATTAATGAAATTTCACAAAATATTTCTTTCCAAATATTCATTTTCATACTGCATCAGAATGTATAGGTTGAACCTCTCTGGTCCGGCATCCTCGGGACCTGACTGGTCCAGAACAAGAGAATTTGCCAGACCAAGGGAGATCTCCTGCCACCGACCCCCAAGTCCATCAGCTACTGCTGGCAGGCTGCACCAGCAGGCAACCTTGCCTTGCCCTCCTGCCCAACTTGGCTGGGCTGCCTGCCTAGCTACTGCTGGCTCCCTGGGTGACATAAGTTCCAGCTCCTGTCATGGGGCTCTAGTTCCGCGCAGCTTGGGACAGCTGTGGGCTGGAACTCTGGCCCTGGCCCTGTGCAGCCAGGAGAAGCCACTGGGCTGGGACCACGCAGCCCCAGCCCTATGCAGCTGGGGGAAGCCATGGGAAGCTGTGGGGCTCCAACTCCGGCCCCGTGCAGTCCTGGCCCTGCACTGCCATGGGGTTCCAGCCTCAGTCCTGCACTCCCAAGGGTTGCTGGAGGCTGATGCCTGGCTCCGGTCCCAGGCTGTTCCCACCTGGGCTGCTGACTCTGACACCCAAACCAGCTGTGCCCTCCTGCCCCTAGGCTCCCGGGGTCTCTGGACCAGGAGCATCCACAGTCCTGTTACACCAGAGAGTGCCGGATTTTGGTGGTACAAGTTGTAGTGTGACTTTTATAACAAAAGAGAAATGCCTCCTGTTACTGACTGCATGCAGTAATGGTCTGTGACTCTTTCGGGCACTCTGCTTTGCTACTGTCATGGAAAGGAAGAACAGACTGAAGAAGCATCAGGATATCCTACTTATGTTAAGTTTAGCATGATCTTCTCAAGCATGGCACTTTTCTCTTACAAGAGGTAATCTCTTGAGATCTTCCAGGCACAGCATACACATGTTGACAATTCTTCTGACTGTCCTTATGCTGTATGGTGAAAGCCATGCTTCTAGCAGGCTCCTGGTCAGTTGAAAGCATTCCATTATCCTCTGTGTCATTCTGTCAGTGAGGCAAAAATGATGATGAACAGCTGAGAATCCAATTTATGTGATCTAAGGTCTGACAGATTTCCAGAAAGCCATCTGGAATATATCCAAAGCTTCCTTAATTTACCAGGAGGAAAATGCGATTGAGAGAAACAAATAGTATTACATGAGAGATTGTAACCACATTTCTGCAAGTGTTCATTCTAGCAAGATTACACTGTAATGGTCTCTTGATTACTTTGGCATTCAATTACAGTTAGGGAGAATGTTTTTAAAAGTTTTTCAGGGATTTAGAAACACAACTCCCTTTTGAAAGGCATTGGGATTTGTGCTCCTAAATCACTTAAGACATTTGAAAATCTGCACCTAAGCCTTTTAATAAACTCATAATATATAATAGTATCATTTCTTGGTCTATTAAAAGCTAAGATCACATGTAGATATGTCCTCATGTGTTAACTATCTGCAGTAATACCTTGCTTACACATTTATCCAGGGAATAGCTTGGCATTTTTATTTATTTTAAAAAGAAAAGGGTTAATGCATTATGTATAAGGCTACAATTTTGTCAGAGATATTTTTAGTAAAAATCACGGACAGGTGTAATAGGGTTGCCACCCTTTCTTGTGAGCCTCCTTTCGGGTTGGGTATGTCCACAGTCTTTAAACCAGTCCCAGCCCTGCTTTTGGAAGCAATGGTTTTGTCCTCTTAGTCTGTTTTGGACAAATTACAACATGGTTTTACAAAAGGTAGATAGTGCCAAACCAACCTGATCTCCTTTTTTGAGAAAGTAACAGATTTTTTAGATAAAGGAAATGCAGTGGATCTAATCTACCTAGACTTTAGTAAGGCATTGGATATAGTACCACATGGGGAATTATTGGTTACATTGGAAAAGATAGGGATTAATATGAAAGTTGAGAGGTAGATAAGCAACTGGTTAAAAGGGAGACTACAGCGGGTCATATTGAAAGGTGAACTGTCAGGTTGGAGGAAGGTTACTAGAGGAGTTCCTCAGGGATCAGTTTTGGGGCCAATTTTATTTAATCTTTTTATCGCTGACCTTGGCACCAAAAGTGGAGGTGTCCTGATTAAAATCTGCGGATGATACAAAGTTGGGAGCTATTGCCAATTCAGAAAAGGATCGGGATATCATACAGGAAGATCTGGATGATCTTGTAAATTGGAGTGATAGCAATAGGATGAAATTTAATAGTGAGAAGTGTAAGGTTACGCATTTAGGGATTAATAACAAGCATTTTAGTTATAAGCTGGGGACACATCAATTGGAAGTAACGGAGGAGGAGAAGGACCTCGGAGTCCTGGTTGATTATAGAATGACTATGGGCCGCCATTGTGACATGGCCGTGAAAAAGGCTAATACGATCTTGGGATGTATTAGGCGAGGTATTTCCAGTAGGGATAAGGAGGTGTTAGTGCCATTATACAAGGCATTGGTGAGACCCCATTTGGAATACTGTGTGCAGTTCTGGTCTCCGATGTTTAAGAAGGATGAATTCAAACTGGAACGATGATCCGATGATTCCACTAGGATGATCCGAGGAATGGAAAACCTGTCCTATGAAAGGAGACTCAAGGAGCTTGGCTTGTTTACTTTAACCAAAAGAAGGCTGAGGGGGACATGATTGCACTCTGTAAATATATTAGAGGGATAAATACCAGGGAGGGAGAGGAATTATTTAAGCTTAATACCAATGTGGACACAAGAACAAATGGATATAAGCTGGCTAGTAGGAAGTTTAGACTTGAGATTAGATGAAGGTTTCTAACAATTAGAGGAGTGAGGTTCTGGAATGGCCTTCCAAGGGAAGTAGTGGGGGCAAAAGATCTATCTGATTTCAAGATTAAACTAGATGGGTTTATGAAGGGGATGGTTTGATGAGATAACATGATCTTGGTAACTAATTGACCATTCATTATCAGAGGTAAATAGGTCAATGGAAGGATGATAGGAGTTACTATAGAGAACTTTCTGGGTGTCTGGCTCTTGAGTCTTGCCCACATGCTCAGGATTTAGCTGATCGCCATATTTGGGGTCGGGAAGGAATTTTCCTCCAGGGTAGATTGGCAGAGGCCCTTGGAGGGTTTTTGCCTTCCTCTGTAGCATGGGGTACAGATCACAGCTGGAGGATTCTACCTGCATCTTGGGGTCTTCAAAGTATTTGAAGGCTTCAATATCTGAGATATAGGTGAGAGGATTATTCTAGGAGGGGGTGGGTGAGATTCTGTGGCCTGCACTGTGCAGGGGGTCAGATTAGATGATCATAATGGTCCCTTCTGACCTTAAAGTCTATGAGTCTTCAGCTGGATCTCCTGACAGTTCAGTCCCTTTCTGGGAGTTTACTGATGTCTCACTGTAGATCCTTCCCT